GCCTCTGCTAACACACAAAGGGCTTCAAGCTGCCTCGGTCATGCAGCTGAGGTTCCCCAACCGGGGAATACTCAGCTGGCACATGCTGACAGAGCTGGCCCAGTGCCACTCGCTCCTCCACCCGCCACGCCGGGGCTGGTGAGAGCAAGTGGGATGCTCATGCAGCGCTAATGCCAGAGCAGAGGCCCCATGAGGATCACGCTGGATGGAAGCAGGAGACCTGTGTCCTGCAAGTAACTGCAGAGCCTCCTGCTCCTCCTCTTCTCGCCTTGTCCAAACCCTCTCCTTTCTTCCAGCATGCACGCAGAGGGGCTGCTTGTGACCAAAGCTGCAGGAACAAGCAAGGGGTAGGTGCTAGGGGCCCTGACTGCCACTTCTGCACCACTGACACAGTAGCTTTACTTCTTGGATCTCCAGGAAACCTGGGGCCTCCTGGCGGTACAGCCTGTTCAGGCTTGTGCCATAGCTAAGGAGAGATGAGCTGGTCAGGAAAGAAGGAAAGGAAAAGTCAAGAAAGAAAGAAAAAGAAGAGATTTCCTTTTGGTTTCATTTCACTGAGGGGACAAACTGAGGGTTTTCAAACGTTTCTTGTTGTTGAATGAAAGAACACCAAAATAAAGAGAAATAGGGACTAAATACACTCCAAATGGTCTGGGATAAGACCAGTGGTTGAGACAACAGTTACTGCAGTGGGGAGCAAAACTGCTCAAATTAACACATGGCTCATAGTGAAGGTGATCCAGTGTTGGGTCACCTACAAGCACCGCATTACACACACTGCAATTCCCTTTTCTAATGAAGTATCTGCTGCATCTGAAAATTTTATGTAAAATACGTGAGTTCGCTATAAAATGTCTCTGCTGATCGGCAGTCTGATTAACCACCGCACATGCATCTGCTTTGCTTTTCTCCTCCCTATTAAAGATTTCTTGTGCACCAAAAATAATTTGGAGAGGCTGTCTCAGATGCAATTTTGAGTGTCAGATGTGGTTAGATAATTACCATTTGAATAATGACAAACATTTTTCTTTGTAAAGTAAAAAGCACATAACATGACAGCTGAACCTGAAGAAGAACTAAACCTTAGTCAGGCAAATTGATAAGATTCAAGACAACAGCTACACGTCCATTTACTTGTTTAGGACCACCACACTTCACACCAAATCTCTGTGAGGCATTTCTAGAGCTTGTTGAATCTGAGTGCTTCACAATATGCAATACATTTGTCTTCCTATTGCTCTTGTCACACGATCCTAGTATCTCTGTGTCGCAGATGGGGAACTGTGGCACACAGCAGCAGAGTGCCTTCCCCAAGGCTACGCAGGAAGCCTGTGGCTTTGTAGCATGAGCACAAGCGATCCATGGGATGGACCAGCGCCCTTGGCCATCCTCTCTCTGGATCCTGATCCTATAAAAGTCAACTGTATATTCCCATCAGCTTCAATAAGTTTGGGATGGTGCTGCAAGGGTTTGTCTACCAGTTTCTGCAGTGAATAGGCCCTTCCCCTGGGGAGGCTCCTCTACACTATTTGATATCAAAAAGCTGTGGTATTCTTGTCAGAGAAAAGACTAACATGCAGCTTATACCTTCTGTCCACCCCCCTACATTTAATAGGTCAACATAGGCTTCAGAAACAAAGACAGACGCAAATCCAAACCCAAAGCTGTGAAGATGTACGGACGTATGTGAGGCAATGTCTAACCCAAGTCTGTCTCCCCTACAGCTGCACTTTCAAATCCAACCTCTACCACTAGATAGCTAAAGTCTTCTTTCCAGCAACCACATGATCACATGTAAGAGGTTTGTCAATTCTGTCCATGAGGGGAAAGAAGCTGAGAAGTTGGAAGTCAGCTGTGGTCTGCTCGAATGGGCATTTCTTGCCCTGAGGTAGTACAGATAAGAGGAGAACAGGGGCAAATATCTCCCTCCAGCAAAGCAAATGACAGATGCCTACATCTGCAGCGCAGTCATAGATGAACTAGAGACACGCTAAAGTTGCCTTTAAGTAGTTTATGGATAGCTTATGGTACTTTATGGTAGTTTAAGGAAGTTTAGGAATGGTACCAGTTGTGTAGCTACTGCACCCAGAGGTCCTTGTAAATGGCAAAACCTACTCGAGAAGATAGGTGAACACTTGGGCCATCATCTGCTTTAAAGTCCATGCTGTTTTGGCTACACTGCTGATGCTATGCAACCTAGAGAGCTCAAAGGTTTGTGAGCTGTGGTTGTGCCTTTGACTGTAATCCTTCTGTGGAGGTGGAACAAACTAGGTCTTTACAAGGCGGGAGGTAAGGAGAGATTAGCTGTGCTAAGTCTCCTGTGTCATGTGCCCCGTGGAACAGTGAAGGCTCTGAGCAAAGAACAAACCATGATCTCAGAAAGAAGGCCAAAAACTTCTACAGTAGAGGATATAAGAAAATAGCTAGTGAAGGGTCCTGCCAGCAGTGGCAGCAAGAGACTGGAAGAATCAAAGAGAAGTAGCAGCTGTATTATCTGTAAGACATACTTTGATCACTTCCAAAAGAGCTCAAAGACTGGGGCACAGCGTACCCTCTCAGTGAGGCATCAGCTCAAGAAATGAGGAAGCAACAGAGCAGGGCTTGTCCAAAGTCAGACAAGAAGTTCATGGCAGAGCCCAGAATAGACACAACATCCAGAACATCAAGGCTGTGCTTAAACCATGAAAGCAGAGGAGAGAGTTGGCAAGAGGAGGTCACAAGTGTAGAAAGGGAAGAAAGCTGGGCTGTCAGCAGAAATATAGAGAAAGAAGAACAAAGACAAGGGAGGAGGAAGATGGGGGGGAGGGCCAGGAGAAAGAAAGGAAGCCAGAGACACCAAAACCGTTGCTGCCTGAGAGTCTGTATATCAGCAGCAGTATAACACGCTCCTGCCATTCCTGACTGGGAAGCGATCACCTGAGCAACTACCCAGGAAAAGTCACAGGAAGACCTATTGGCTCATGTTATCTTAGAAGAGCTTTCTGGATAAAAGGGATTTGTGGGTAAAAGCCTCCATAATCCTTTTGGTTTGGTTTCTTTTAATACTATAAAGCACAAAAATAAACTTTATAGTTAGCAAAAATGTGGCTTTTGTTATGTTCTGAGTCACTTTTCCCCAGCAGCATACAAAGTGGCTTTTCAATTCAAGTCCTGAACATTTTAGAATCAAATGTTTCACAAAGGCCCTAAAGTAAATCACAATTCTCCCCAGTCAGACTTCTTAATCACATAGATCCCCTGAATTCAGCTATTAGACTGCATGTGACCAGACTTACCTTGCCTGAATTGGGTGTTATAAATTGATAAATTAATCTCTAGTTTAGATCAATTCTGGATGATCCCATCAGCCAAGCAGAAGTCTGGAATTTCATTTCTAACTTGCTGCTATTCTGTCCCAACTGTTCCTGTTAGCACGGAGGTGGAGCGTATCCCTTATGAGGTGTGCTATAGGTAGATGCTACTGGCCTGATTCAAAATCCAGTGCAATCAATTTTGCAGTTCATTTTTGGAGTTCATTTAAGAGGACTTTGGCTCATGTCTAAAGTTTGTCATCTTTAACTTCAAATTTCCTTCTTCTTTTTTACTTCTGTTACAAGGTTTGTACCAAGTATTTCTAGAAATGTGGAAGAATCTCTCAGCTTCTCATAATAAAAGTGCCTTAAAACCCAGTGTTCAGCTTTGCTATTGGAAATATTATCTTGTTTTGTTATCATGTTCCACTCCCTGAACGGGGAATGCTTTTTATTTTATTTCAGGTCCAGCAAAATCTCCTAAATCAAAATCACTATTAAATCTCACTTCAATACCAGCAATATTCCTTCTTCAAACAGTAAGTAGTAAAAAGTTATCTAGATTTTCCTATGATTGCACCAAAGCTACAAACACCGACTGAGGGGGAAAACACTCCAAACCCTACTCTCCTCGCAAAAGCAGCAATGAAGACTGCACACGATATACAGCAGTAGAGCGTTTGGTTCCTGAAGCTAAGAAAATAAAACTTTCATGGGCACAACTTCACAACTGTAGGTGAGTAATTGCAAGAGAAATCATAAACTACTTGGTACTGAATTTGAACACTCAAACCACATAACTCTGCACATTCACAAAATCAAATCATGCATGCAACTGCCTAGATTGTGAGGGTAAGACCAGTGAACATATGTGAAAATCCTACATAAGAACACCCTATATTTGCAGCAGTGTATCCAGCAACCTCACTCTGTCCCCACTAAAGCCAGCGTAGGTTTTGCTACTGATTTTTATGATTGCAGCGACCAGCTGCAAGTATTAACTTTGCATTTTTTTCCTCTCGCAAGGAACAGTACTACTACTTTAATAAAAGAACCAATGAACCAGTTTGCCAATAGCTGCCTACCTAAGAATAAGCAGGATATGTTCAAAGCAAGCTCTACTCTAACTTATATTCATTCCTAAAGACTAGATCTGCTGGGCTCACAACAAAGAAACAGCACTGTTTTACTTATCAATGTCCTACTGTTCATCTAGAACATCTGCAAAAGTTTTGCCTGCAGCACTACCCCATTCATTACAGGCCTTGATAGACTGTTCAATGGGCTTTTTTTTTTTGGTACAAAATGTACAAAAGCATTTTACAAAGTGGACTTTGCCCTGATATGAATAATAAAAAAATAATTTAGAAGTGCATGTTTCAGTTTCTCCGTTTTTCCAAACTAAGGTTTGGCAAATGGAAACAAAATGGCAACAGCTTAAAACCTGACAGCTCCCTCCACGTCAGGAAGCAAGACAGAGGCTTTCTGCAGAACATTGTCTACTTTTGCCCAGTTGCCAAAATGCTTTGCCATCTACCAAAAAGGCAACTGATGAAAGACTAAAATGCAGAATTTCATGAGCAACAGATCCACCCCAATCAAAAGGAGGCCATATTGTTTTTGTGCAGAGGAATAGGTAGGACTTAGAAGTCGTAAACTTCTTCCCTCCCTCCGACAAGCCAACCCATACAGCAAAAGAGTGGTGCTTACCATCATCCAGATATGCTTGGTCCAGATTCTGTTCCTGTTTAATAGTGACTCCAGCTGGTAACACTTCTTTCTGCTCGCTAACCGGTGGTCCATTTTTTGCTGCTCGCTGGCCTGAGGCTGTCTGCTGCTGAATCACGGTAGGATACGAACTCGGACTTAACCTTTGTGCTTGACTGACTTGGGGCTGGCTGGATCTCGCAACGTTGGACGTAAAATTTTCACAGCACATGATGTGCTGAAATTCTTGGTGACTTCCACATCTCAGCTGCTGGTTAGTTGGAGAATAGTGGATCACAGGAGAAGACTGCTGGTTGCCTGGCGAGTGGTGGAGCACCGCTGAAGTTTGGCCTGGGGAACCAGCATGCACCAGCACTGACCTATGGGCATCTGAAATAGCCACCGGTGTAGCCATCAAACTGGATTGCTGGTAGCCCAGTTGGCTAGGGCTAAGGCTCTTGCTTCTTTGGTATATTACAGCGGCTGGATTCTGCTGATGGTATCGAGAATCGGGAGAAGAAAGGCCTGAGCGCAACTGCTGGCAGGGGGCCATAGGGGCCACAAGACAGGAAGGGGACTCGGTGACCATTGTGTGCTGTGAATAGTAGGGCTGTGTTACTGTTCCCAGACCACTGTGTACTGTATTGCAGATTAAGGCTGGATCATAGTCATCAATGGGCTCTGTTTTGATTGATGGTACTAGAATAAAGCATGCAAAGGACATTATTCGTAAGAAGCTGATGAGAAGCAGAGAGGTTTTCCTTTAAGTAATAAGAGATTTAAGTCATTTACAAGGTTTGTATGTGTGAGCTCTTATCTAACAAGTGCTGGGTTCAATAAAGCATGTAACTGCCATCATGGGAGACTCTCTCCTGAAAGCACTCTGTATTAAGAGGGACATGAAAATCTCTATCCAACAATTTAACCACATATTTCTGAAAATTTAAAAATCCAATATTTTAACTCATTTTAATTCATTTAAGGGCCATTCTAGCTGGAGCATAAGCAAAAGAAACGAGCAGGTAGATGTTTCTTGCAGTATTTCCATCTCAAAGGAAGGCTAAATAAATAGAATTCCTATGAAATACACAGCTCTTCATTTTACAGTCAAACATTTAATTAGTGACCAAGGGCAGAGCTGAAGTTAAATGAAGTTAGTTGAAGTTTTAGGG